GAGTACTGGACATCTGTTCCTGTTGTTTTAGTGGCTGGAACTCCTTAGAACTAAACTGTCACCATAATTCAAACTCAAAGACCTTCCGAACCCTGAAGACTAGTCTCATGCTTGCCAGTGACTGAGTTGCGAGTTCAGTTGTCCAGGAGTGAATTCTAGTGATTTGTGACTACTGCAATCAACCTTGTATGTGCGTGAAGACAAATACCTGCCAATGACACTTCTTGGTGGCCACACTAAAATCACGAATTAGTATAAGTTTGAATCATTCATTGGCAGTTAGATCGGTCCCTAATGGATGAGTATTGTACAAGTTCGCCTTGTAACCGGAAAGTCTTCCCTTCGATCGCAGGGTTCCATCTCAGGATGTCCTTGTTACAAAACAAGTGAGCTTGTAGACCACTCAGCCACTGGGAACCGACTCAGTGGCCAGCCAGCCCATGAATTCTAACTTCTACCAGTTCGTGAACACCAGCCGAAATTTTTCACACACTCATTTTATTGAGAGAAATATTCACTCTCAGCTATTTCACATCTCATCGCTAATACCGATTGAGTCAAGAAGGCAATAAAAGACAATTCAATGAAGAAAATGCTTCTTCATTGACGAAATCGTCGATATTTATATTTACCAAAAATGTAGACGGAGGTGTGACATAATTGATATAATTACTCAGGAGGGTCTTTACAAGTAAAAAGAAAAGTCGGAAATCGCGTAATACTCAACAATGGCACAAAGGAAGAAAGTGTTAGAAATTTGATAAGCTTAAAATTGTAGTTGAGTGAGAAGAAGGGTGGTGGTTACAAAATGAACATATGAGAGTGATAATAGTGAATTAATTATTAATAAAAGTGAAAGCAAACTAATCATTAAAAATATAAAATAAAAATTCTACAGGGAATGACTAATGAAGAGGTTGAAACCATGGTAGAATAAGAGACTGGACAAATTTTTTCGGGGATGTACTGAAGAAGTGCCAACGCCTCTGCCATACACAAAAGCCTAAATCTAACAACCTTTGAACCCTTCGTTATCACCCTGTAAATAATCTTGAAAGACGACTCTGGTGTAGCTGCATAGCTTGAGTTCACCAAGTGCTCGAGAATTGAGCTAGTAATTGTCTTGCATTGTCCTTTTGCTAGCCATGCCGGATAATGTTCAGAGACGCGTTTGAAAAGTGTGTGGCTGCTTTTTTGCGGTCAATATAACTAGCTCCACAGGAACGAGTGAATTTATAAACACTTATTGAAGTGGCGCAAAGTGGCAGTTTATCCTTCACGCGTCCATTTATCATTTGTTGGCTTTTCTCAGTGATCTGGATAAGTAGCGGTATTACCTTTAAATTCAACGTTCATGAATAACAGTTTCTTCGACACCGTCTGGGTTCCTTCAGGTTTTTGCCTTACTTTCATGTTTTCCTCGATGAATCTTGAGGGATATCCACTTTCCACGAGGAATCGTCTAAGCCTTTCCGGTTCACCCTCGATTGTATCCTTCTTACTCTTGAGGATAACGGGTGGTTCAAATTTCTTTCTCTTCTCAAAGAGACCCAACTATGAAACTTTGTGTATTAACCATTTCATGTTGCTTTCCTGTAGATTGATCTTTGAAGAGAACCGTTAGATCTTCTTTTTAACAAAACATCAACACACACACAACAAAAAATGGAATTCCGATTTTATCTCTAATTCCCATGTGAACTGAATAGCACGATAGAGAGGTTGTTGAACGCCTTAGTTATCATTTCAATAAAACAAAAAGGCTGAAAGTACACAATTCTGGTGCCAAAGAAACTGTTAACTTAGATTTGATGGAGAAGATTTGTAGCCCAGGTGGATGATTTTGATGTGGTTGTGTTCTCTGAGCTGGCTGGATTGTTAATTTGCGAAGCTTTCATCGCCCTACTAGGCGACATCTTCCTTCAGCGCATACTTCAATTTGAATTGAAGTGAGCTTTTCGATTTCTCCATGAGTTTATCAATCATCTCTCCTGGTCGGTGACCACCTTGGATGTGATTGGTTGTTTTTGAGTGTTTTCACACCTTCTAGGCTACTTGTATTGTAACTCATTGTTTCTTTGACTTGAACTTTGACTCTTTGTCTCTGTGTGAGGTTTCTTTCTTATCGGTTGATAAATTTTGCTTATCTCGATGTGTCTATTGATTGATGGTTCAATGGAATATCAGACAGGCTTCTAAAAATTATGTTCGTGGATATGAAGACTAAGGGGACGTCCACTTCGCAAACTGCGAAAAACACTACATTGGCCAAACAAGGACGTCCCCTTCGTCTTCGTATCCATGAGCATAAGCTAGCCATCAAAAGACATGACATTCACTCCCTCATATCACTACATACAAACAATCACGGGCATCAATTCGATTGAGACAATGTTCAAATATTGGATAGAGGAAACAACAAGAATGCTTGAGAATTTTCAGAAGCCTGTCTGGTATTCCAGTGAATCATCAATCAATAAACACATCGAGATAGACAAAATTTATCAACCGATAAGAAAGAAACCTCACACACAAAGGGTCAGAGTTCAAGTCAAAGAAACAATCAGTTACAATACAAGTAGCCTAGGAGGTGTGAAAACACACAAAAACAACCAATCACGTCCAAGGTGGTCACCGACCAGGAGAGATGATTAATAAACTCGTGGAGAAATCTAAAAGCTCACTTCAATTCAAATTGAAGTATGCGCTGAAGATGTTGCCTGCCTAGTAGGGTGATGAAAGCTTCGCAAATTAACTATCCAGCTGGCTCAGAGAACACAACCATCTCAAAAACTATTGACTACCAGACAAAATTTTTCATACGCTCATTCTACTGAGAGAAACATTCACTCCCAACCATTTCATATATACACATAATATATATATATATACGTAATAGGAAACCGTGCTTAAGCCTTAGTCGTTTTTGCTTATAATCACATGAGTTCATTGAGTAGAAACTAACTTACACATGAGAAATTTTGCTAATGATATATATGGCGAAAAGAACAGCCACTCAATCACTCACGTACGCACGCACGCACGTACGCAAACACACGCACACGCACAAACACACACACAAATAAGCACACAACTAATATACTGTTATCAGTAGACTTCTATGTATGTCAATCAGTCAGTGAATGAATGACTACGGCGATAGTAGTAATAGTAATAGTAGTAATAGTAATATAATAATAATAATAATAATAGTAAATGTATGCATAAAGGCTAGTGAACAGTTAAATGTGCTCATTCAACCATATGTTTGTGTTCTTTCTCATTTTTTTTCTGAGGTAATAGTTTTTTATTCATTCTAGCATAAATTTGTATTCAGTGAGCTCACGAACTGGCGAACAAGAGAGAATATACTACTCAGAGAAAGAGTGAGAGAGAGAGAGATAGAGAGTGGAAAGGAGAAGGCAGCATGTTAGGGTGAAACACAGATTTCTAGCACTAATAACACGTTATCAACTTCAGTATATGGATTTCTCATATAATTTTAATAAACTCACCTGCCGATTTATCAAAACACTGACCAACAAACCACACACACACTCACTCTTACTATTCATACTTTATGTGTAAATTGTTGATTGTTTTTTTGTTTTACCCTATCTAACAAACTTGAAACACATTCATTCATGAGTGAGTGAGTGAAGGTGATTACAAGAGCTGTGATCGACTCGACTAAATGCCAGCGACAAACACGCACAAATAGACACACGCATGCATGCATGCACGCCTGCACTGATAAACATGGACGTTTACTTTACTTTTCTATTCAAGATCGACATAACTGTCCAACCATGGAGTTGTCGCCCCCCTCTTCACTCCCTTCCCGTTCTTCTTCTTCGCCACGTAAAATCAATTCGTGTTGAAAGATGTTTTCAGTTTAATCGAATTTTCGAATAACAACAATATTAATAATAATAGTAATAATAATAATAGACAGGATTGTTTATGTTGACACTGTTCACATGAAGTAACATGATATGTGTATGTGATTGATGAAGAGACTTGGTAGGCGGGAAAATATTCCAAAAAAAGAGAATTACCAAACAGTTTCAACTGTTAATTGGTGGATCGTGACTAGCAGTGGAATCCACCAGGATGCGCACTTCGTCTATTTTTGGGGCTCTTCATCTGAATGTGCCTGAATTTTACAGTGAGTAGTGGTCTTCCCACCAAGGCTCGAACCCATTGCCCATAGTTTCAAACACCAACCAAAGCGTTATCCACTAGACCATTTGGGCCACCTCTTGTGCAACGCGTCATATTAATTATTTATTCAATTCAATTTTAGATTTTCCCGGGTTCATGTCTCGGTGGAAACATCATCACTCATTGCGGAATGCAAGTACATCCAGATGACGAGTGCCGAATGGGACAAAATGAGCATTCTGGTGGATTCCAGTGTTAGTCACCATCCACCAATTAACTTCTAATTACATGCCCAGACATCGATGAAGCATATGCGCAAGAAGCCGACATGTCAACCTGAGAGTGAGCACTTCGGTGCAACCAGTCGACCGGAAAATCTAGAACTGTTGTTGGAGAGGTGCAGGGAATCTGCAGGAAGACCTGCTTCATCAGTTATCAAGGCAGTCGCGAAAAGACTTATACTCCTACCCACCCCCGACTGATATTTTTAAACCTGGGCTCAGACAGTACTTAAATCAGAGATGCTAACACTGATTCGATGTTAGATAGTATAACTAGTGTTATGAGTCTGCGTGACTAATAAACTGCAGCACTGAAAGTTCTTTCCACTGACCTGATCGACCTACGGTTTAACGTAATACTACGTATATATATATATATATATCACCTTTGGACTGTACCCTTAAATAAAGCTTTTTCTTATTCACCGTATCACACTTAATTTCACCAACTGCTTTGGAAATGTACTTCTTTACAATATTGTGTTTTCAGTCAAATATTGATTGCTCTTCTATTTTATTTATTTATTTATTTATTTATTTACGTATATATTCAAGCTCCTGGGACACCTCCACAAGTTTTGCAAGCGAATGTTGACTCTCCAGATTCTGTGATTGTCACCTGGAAGCCACCGATTGAAGCCAACGGTCGTATAACGGTAAGTAGTGGAATTATCAAATTCACCTGTTCTATGCTTGCTCGTATTTATGAATTTTAACACAAATAGAATATTCGTAATTGATATAAGTATAAAACTTGGGCACTGTGGTAGAGCATAACTCCGTTATCGATAAGATTTTATTTTGATAAATCACACAGTGTTATACAATAATATTAACTGATGACCACGTTTCAAGCAAAACTTATCCCTACTCATAATCATATCAAGTCACTCACACAACTTTTTTCCTTCATTTATATACATGTGTGGAATTCAGGATTAGACATTTGAATACAAATCAGTAATATAGGATAATTAACATTCAGAAATAATAATAATATGAGTGTTATCAATCAAGTACAATCAGATAGGAAATAAGAGGAGTGCTTTTATGGTCATGATAAGTAACTTGTTGGAATGCTGTGATGTAGTTGAATTGAAATAGAATTTTGAGATTATTTATTATCCTCTTCTTATTTGACTGGTGGTAATTATATCTTCCATATTCCTGATATTTGCATTGAGTCATTTCTGTTGCATGTGTTGGGTGTGTAGACTCGATGAACCAAGATTCAGTAATCAACCTCTCTCTCCACCTACCTATGTTACTCTTTAGAATTTTAACCCTCTCCCACCATGCTATTGTGTGGGTGTGTGTTAATGCGTGAAGTGCAATGTAGTACTGAGCTTTTTTCTAAATTACTTGTCTTCTCGGGTGGGGTCAACCATTCTGCCCTTAGCTAAATTCTTATGTTCTGATAATCTGACTACTCCCGACCTACTAGTTTGACCTATGTAGTTGATCTTACTCACAATCATTGCAGGGTATTTTGTAAATTATATTATTTTGTCTAACAGGGTCAACCGACAGGGTCCTTTAACCTACAGAGCTTGTCCCTGAGTGAGTTTGTGGGTTTGAATGGCAACACCCTGATTCCTGCTCTATTAAGAATCCTAAGTAGGGCTTCAGATCTCCCCTCCTTATATGGTATTACAGTGGATGACTTATATTCTCTCTTATTTATGTTATCATTATTAGTTCCACAATTATTTTTATTTTGTTAATAAAGCAGGAATAAATTAATAATAATTAATACATCTCGGTCGACGGAATCCAGTGGCGCTTTCAGGTCGACAAATATGACGAAGTGTGCCTATGTTCCAGAATCCGTCAAAGGGTGAAGATATGACCAATACATCCTCTACGTGGTCTGAAGCTTGCTTGGTTCTCCCGTGTTTGATCCTACCTAGCACCGCTTAGTCTACGCATGGTTATTGAGCCTAGAACTTTAGATCCCATAGTGGTCACACTAAACCCCCTGTGAATATCACAGGACGACTTATCTCCCTCCTTGCATATTGAGATAATCAGTGACTTACACCAACCCGACGGGACTATCTGTGATTCCCAGATGCTGTCTAATACCTTAACTAACACAGATTATAGACTGTCTCCATCGTTCTTAAACATCTCTGGAGTCATTCTGTTAGGTTCCGTTGCTTTGCCTCGTTTCAGACTAGTGACATCTTTTGTAACTTCAGTTGGGGGCGGAGGACCTGTGTTTCTTTCCCATTTGGGGGGTGTTGGATGTCGGGTAAGCTGAGCGTGGCTGTAGGCCAATTAAACTGCTCCTCAAAGTGTTCTTTTCAACACTATAGTCGTCCGTGCTGAAAGCTAATTATGGTGCTATGTCTTCACGGAGAGTACTTTGTTAGGCAAGTTTCATTGCAAGGTATTTACCCTCCTTTCAGAAGCTCAAAGCAATGTAAATAATCGATAATTTATTATCGAAGTAAACATGATACATCTTCGTGAGTAGAAAACTGTATTAGCCTATTGACCTAAGCAGGTCGCCACTAGTGCATTTTACTTAACAACTGTTGATGGGCTGGAGTGCAATTTCAGCTGTAGAATATACTTCACTGTCACATTAAAACACTAAGATTAAGATTACATTGATATTACCGTGTCTGGTAGGATGCTGAGACGTTTACCGGTAAAAAAACTACATCTCCAAAATTCAGTATCTAACCAACTGAGAGCAGACTATTTTCAAACTGTAGGCTTTTTTGGGCGGGAAAACAAGCTACTTTAAATAATCAACATTTGCCGCCCAATTACATGACGGAATGATTAAAGCAATAGGAAGCAGGCGAAGAATAAAGCGCCCTTGATGTGGGTTGAAAATGTAGGTTGCTTAGTGATTTAATCAGGCCGCGAATTACTTCAAACAACAATAATAATAATAGTAATAATAATCCGTGTCTCTGGAAATAATTTTAAAATTAAGAGCCTAATCTGCCTGTCTCTGTCTCTATCTGTCACGGTAACTGGCAATGTATAAGTCATACGGGGTAAACTGCACACTATGCAGTTTTGTAGGATTCAGCTAACCTTAATAGGTAATTTACAGTCTTGAACATATTTGAGGGTGAAACTCTAGCCCTGCTGGTATCAGATGGTTGAAGGCAGTGGGCCACAAGAAGCCTTGCCTAGACTTAGGTTTCGTGCTAGTTGGCACTCACCAGTCAGTCAGCAAGGCGTATCTGGGAGCATCGATAGCTCAGTGGTAACGTCTTTAACTCACAGCAGTACTCACTGGGTGATGCGGATGCGAATCTCAGCAGGGACATGAGCTGTTCCTCCAACAGATTGCAGATACTCCTCGCTGACTGACTGGTGAGTGCCAACTAGCACGAAGCCTAGGTCTAGACAAGACTTCTTGTGGCCGACTGCCTCTAACCTTCTAAAAAAACAATCCTCTTTCCTTTTTGGAAATTCTACAAATCTCTGTTTATTCCCTCCATTTCTCTTTCTGTTTATTGCTTTCGCCTTATAGGGTTATAAATTGTATTATACTACAAGACCAGAAGATTCGCTTAATTCATGGTTGATTGCTAGAACAGCACAAGAGAAATATCAGCTAACAAAACTTGTTCCAAATGCTACCTATTATCTAAAGGTTAATGCATACAATGCTGCAGGCGATGGACCTGTCAGTGAACAATTACCCATTGTAATAACACCTGGAGGTGAGTTGTTGGCATTATATATTTGTAATACCTTCTCATTTATCCCACATGATTTAATATCCCGTTTCTTTTTGTCACTATTATTATTATCTAACCTATATGTTTGTTTGTCTTTTTTTCTGTTAATGTGTGTCTGTATGTGCGTAGCGAGTGAGTTCACACTTTCCACACTGTAACAGTACTATACTAACTAATGAACTAACTAACTAACTAACCAGCTAACTAACTAACTGACTAATCATCCGCTTTCCCTGCCCCCCTCTGCCAGCCTCCACCCACATATTATTAACTATTCGCCGCCTCCGCCTCCGCCTACTCCTTCCTACTTCTACTCATTGCTTACTAACTAATCCAACCAATCAGAACAGTTTTTAATACGTCTGTGCTGCATGAATGCTAACCAGCCTCATCCTAATGAATGGCTAGTGGTGAACACTTCTCATTTGATAACAAATCATTTAGTATAACACATTTGTGTACAAACATTGTGTCATATGGTATTGATTTTTTTTCATTAAAAGTTATGTGTTAACCATCATCAGAGGTGGTGGTGGTGGTGGTGGTGGGGACATAAAATGTTTCGGCTATCAATAGTTTCAATAGTTTAAACCATCTTAGGCACCTTAGCTGACACTCTATTCAGTGCAAAGATTTTAACGCAAAAAGCCGAAGCCGATCTTTCTTTCAAGTTACATTTATCGCAGGTTCCATATAAAATGCATGAGGAGGGAGGTCAAGTAGATGTTCGTCAAAGGTATCGCTGACTGTAGCACTGTATGACACACTAAATAACAAAGAAGTAATCCATGGGTCATTGGATTCCCGCACAAATAGTTGAATGTCCAGTGGGCTTGGTCTCAGAACCTGAAGTTTTCTCTAGTTCATTCCTCGGTTGGTGAAGAAATCTAATAACTTGATGTTTTAAGCTTGATGTGTGGTATATGTGTCTTATTACTCATTTTGGAAGATGCTCGTTTCAACGACAGTGGAACATTCTATTGGTTCTACCTATATAGGTGTCGCCGCAACTGTAGGTGAACTGGTAGATACAGTTTGAAATAGAGTTCACATAATTTCGTCCTTTAATCGTGGGTAGAGGGATCGAAAATGTTCGAGATGTGAGGGAAAGAGATGAGGTGTAGAATGTGCGCCTGATGGCTGACCGAAGTCTTTGAGCTGTCAACTGCATAATCTGGTCATCCTTGAATGGTAGGTTAATAAAGATAGCTTTCTTTGGTACGGAAGCTGTCTTTTCTAGATGGTCTATCCTTACTGTGACAATTGATGAAGTTTTCTGGATAACCACTAGCTAATAAAACTGAATGTATATGTCAAAGCTCATCCATCAATGTGTCACTCGTACATATTTTGTGAAATAGAGATATTGTCCACTCCATGTCTGCTTACGAAATATAGATGGCTTAATCATTCCATCGTTTCTCCTAGTCATTGAAATATCCAAGTAACCGAGTTTGTTATTCGATTGGAATTCGGAAGTCACTCGGATGTTTGGATGAATATTATTAAATAGAGTAATAAAGTTTTCAATAGACTTACTATTATTACCAACAGTGAGTGTATCATCCACATAACGTGTATCTAGCACAAATTTTCCCAGCATACCTTGCATTTGTTTCTCCAATTTTGACATGAATATATCTGCTAACAGGGGCCCAAGAGGGCTCCCCATCGCAACACCATTGATTTGTTTGTATGCCTTTTCTTGGAAAGTGAATCTGACATTTTCTGTTCATGTTAAGATAATTTCTGTAATGCAAGTGACAGGAATAGGTAAGTTTATCCCATTGCTTGTGATGTAATCACACAAGTGAAATCAACAATTTCATGAAGAGGAACATTGGGGAATAAAGATTCTGTGTTGCGTGAGCACATTATTTCACATAACTATAATTCAAGATTGGTTACTAAAGGTAATGGAAGCACTCTTCGGCGATTAATCACATACATCCTAAACTATGTGTACAGTCAAAACAATAGACTTCAACCTTCGCCTACCATGGACTGACTACTTGACCTATTTAAATATGATTGGTCATTAGTATATACTTTTGTTTTATATAACTGAGTAATTGTCATGCATTTTATTTTATTTTATTATTGTGAACCAAGCATGCTAGTTGTAAAGCGATTGTAGAGAAACTACGAAGTGAAGATATCATCGCTCGAAATTCGTCTTCTATTAATTCGCAATTTTTAGCGCCACAGCCAATAAATGTCATCGACCGAGTATTAATCCGCACATCTGCTCGATCAAGTGGACCTCACTGGTTACAACTTTTTGCTAGGATTTGCTAGGCAACATCTTCCTGTAGCTAGCTTTCAATACTTTCCTAACTGATAACAATCTGGTGCAGATCAGTCTCGAAACCAACCGAATCCCTACAAACTAACGTTGGTAAAGGATGGTTTTTTTCATAGTTGTCAGAGTGACGATTGATTTAGACAAGAACGCTCGTCTTCAGTAATATATATATATAATTTATCCAAGTGTTGGATACCCTGATATCAGAAAGTCAGAGGCAATTATCTCTTCAATTTAGTCCCACAAACAGACGTTGTCCTCCTTGTTCTATTTAATGTTTTAAATTTGAATGCGCTTTTGGTCTTCCTATATATCGATATTGATATTTACCAGTAAATATGGCCAAGGACGGGAATTGTAAAAACAAAGTTTCAAAGTTACGCAATTACAAGTGATACGATTATGAAGAATAAATTGTGTTCCAAACATAATCCAGTACATAATGATATATCCAGTAAATATGGAATCTGAATAAAGCAAGAACACCAGTGGAGGTTTCCACAGAATAAGAAGACGGTAACATCATTGTTCAGTTCGTTCGTTGACTTCTAATCAGCTCAGCTGACTACAACCTGAATAAATTACTGTTATTATTATTAAGTTTATGTACACAGACAGTTTCAACATACTTGCAAATGTTACTCAGTGTCAGTTAGTGACTGACAGCAGACACCGAACTTAATGAACACTGCTCAGAAAATTACACTTATACAGCTTTTACACAGGGAGTTCAAGTTTAAGCAATGTCAATGTATGCATTCAATGGTAAAGGAGTTACGTGATGAAGACGAGAGGTGCGTGAGATGATGGATGAGTAACTAATAAATTGGGTGACAATGTACTGATTTCAACTCAAATCATAGAAACAAGAAACAAGCGAAGTTACACTATAACAAACGGGGGTGAGATTAAGGCGAAGGATTATGTAATCAAATGAAAGAGAGAGAGACGGTGAATAAATCCAGTTACCAGGCACAAGGGCAAGGAAAGACTGATGATAACTGCTTCTTTCTGAACACATAAATTGGGTTTCAGGCGTTTGATGGCGATCACTTACGCAAACTTGAGGAGAACTGAGCTATCGGGCAAAATGCTGTTTGATGAAATCAAAAGTTGGGAGATACGCTTCTCTTGTTATCAACTCCAACTGTGCATACATATTTACGTGTATCCGTGGGAGCAGTTACATTGGGAGAACAGAAAGAAGAAGAAGGACACACCTCCGATTTTCTGAACATGTACCGAAGAGTTTGTGTCTCAAGGGAACAAACGCCAACAATAATGCCATTATCGGGTATCTCCTTGATACGGGTCAGGAGGAAATCACGAAATCCTTTAAAATTATCAATAGACGAAAGAGATCATTTCTCCTCAAGTTTGCGTAAGCGATCTCCATCAAACGCCTGAAACACAATTTATGTGTTCAGAAAGAAGCAGTTATCATCAGTGTTTCCTTGCCCTGCTGCCTGGTAACTGGATTTCTTCACTGTCTCTCTCTCTTTCATTAGATTACATAATCCTTCGCTTTAATCTCACCCTCCCCCGTTTGATATGGTGTGATTTTGCTTGTCTCTTGTTTCTGTGATTTGAGCTGAACTCAGTGAATTGTCACACAGTTTATTAGTTACCCATCCATCATCTCACGCACCTCTCGTCTTTATCACGTAACTCCTTTACCATTGTATGCATACATTTACTTTGTTTGTCTGAACTTGAACTCCCTGTGTAAAACCTATATAAGTGTAATTTTCTGAGCAGTGTTCATTAAGTTCGGTGTCTGCTGTCAGTCACTAACTGACACTGAGTAACATTTGCAAGTATGTTGAAACTGTCTGTGTACATAAACTTAATAATAGTAATAACAGTAATTTATTCAGGTTGTAGTCAGCTGAGCTGATTAGAAGTCAACGAACGAACTGAACAGTGATGTTACCGTCTTCTTATTCTGTGGAAACCTCCACTGGTGTTCTTGCTTCATTGAAATTCAACGGGGGGGGGGGGGAATAAATGTATGAAGATTACAGGATTATATACTGCCACAGTGTCCACGTTTTACGGACACATAAAAATCTGTCACATCTTGATGCGTAAACCATGTTTTATGGTAGTCAATTCCATCCTCTTCTACCCAAACAAAACACGCATCATTTGCATGGAACTATATGCTACCGATTGACAGAGATAAGGAGTTGGATAGCATTCACATCGATAAGTAGTTCTTGTTATCCAGATTGATGTGATCCAAGCATTGGAGGGTTGTTTCTCTTTATATTAGGGCTAAGCTGTCTGCAGATAAGTTCTGCTCTGAACCAGCTGAACAGATATCTGGTGTTTAGATTATGTCTGTCTCGTTAGTAAACACCACTGGTTGATATGAATGGTATGCAACTACTCAAATTATTCATTCAGTAGTATATACATACGTTTGGTTTTTGTGTGTTCACATTATGAGTCACATTTTCGTCACCTACATTAATGCATGTCAAATAACCTACTGTACTCATGAAAGTAACAGTGAGTCAGGAACGCTTCACACTGACATTCAGTTTCATTATGCATTTGCACGAAGATGTATATTATCAGCTTTTATTCATCCCTTGAATTCTGAATTCACTGGCACATCTGTGTTCCACTCCGTTCTTCTACTGCTTCATTTTCAGTTGGCTCTATCACTGAT